AAACAATTTCTATTCCATCACATAACTTCAAATTTAAACATATTCCCAAATTTTCTTCACCCAATTCAAGAAAACAAAATTCTTTTTTAAGTTAGACCTGAAACGAGAATAGAAGCTTCAAGAAACTGATGACCTGAGTCGTCTTCGTTGCTAAATTGGGACCCAAAGCTACCATGGATCGAGTGGCAAGAAATGAGGACCCGTTTCGGCGAAGGGCGACGATTCGTAGTGAAATGTAAACGGATGGGAGAGGAGCGAAGTGGAGGAAAATAAAAGGAGGGTGTTGGGTGAAAGCATTTGGTGAATCTGAGAAAACCCAGAAAGTGGAGAATGTACGGGATCGAAACTGAGCACCGAGAAAAGAAGAAGAAGAAAATTTTGAAATCCCTTCCCTGCCTGGAGATGACGATGAAGGAAGGGGGATTATCAAGATAAAGGGATTAGTTTTAGGATGATCTTTATAATTGTTTACTTATTATTATTATTATTATTTGGTTATTACCATGTTACCCAGTTGACACATTAGTAAAGTTGAAAACAGTTACCTTCACATCAGCATAAATAACGGTTATATTAATTAAGACGGTCAAAGAAATAAATTAATGTAATTAAATAACTTTGAGAACAAAATCGATGTGAAAATATGATAGGGGAGATCATTAATGTATTAAATAGTGATCTTTAGTTATTATTCCCATGTATTATGCTAATGACAAGAAAGGGGACATCGTTAATTCACATGTTTGTTTATTCAATGAATGTATTAAACATTTGCCAGTATTATTCGTGGACGCAAAAGAACGGTTTCAATAAAATTTTGCATCTGATTCGCTTATCTAAGCGGTTACATCGATGAAGTTAAGTGTATGTGTGTGTGTATATATATTGTTTGAGTTTTGGTCTCATGGATTGGATACATTAACAACTAAAGCCAATCTAGCTTCCCTTTATTTCCTATTTGAAACTCCACCAAAGAAGAAACAAAAAAGATACAGCAGATTTGGCACCATTTTTAAAGTTAGATCTTTTCTATTTTACAGTCGATTTTTTTCTTTGTTTTTGAACACATTCAGGTGTTGTACCTCTCCACTTTTGGAAAACAATCCCTTTTATTAGATTTTGTTGAATTTAAACGCGATCCCATTTGTTCACTCACTTGCACTTACGCAAGCCTTAATTTAAATCAAGAAATCCACCACCGGAACAAATACTTGTATTCTCTTTCACGCCCATCTCTTCCTTCAGGTTGGTTTAATCTTCTTCAACCTGTTTATTTATGTTTATCGTAAATGTTTTAACACGAGCGTCGAATATGAATACTTTAAAAAAAAAGTCCGGGTTATTAGTATATGTAGCCGTATATTGTTCGAGATGCAAATATATCTAAATGGACTAATCTTCTCGTCATATTCTTCATGAAAGTTGATGCCATAGTTTTCAGAAATTTTGTAGTTTCTGAACCAACAAGATGAAACACTCAACTATTTAACTTACATGGAAGCAAATTCTAAGGTGAAACAAAAGAATTTTATGAAAAATAAAATTGGTCGTCGTTATTGTTTTTTTTCCTTTCAAATAGTACTATATATTATTCTTAGATTTATTGAACATGGTCAAAGTTTCCTAGTTTAATCAAGTTCACTAATTGTTTGACCAAATAATTACATTTTGTCTTTAATTTTCATTAAAAATATCTATGGATATGAAACTCAATTTTTTTTTGTTGGTTCAGTTTCACAGGGAAGAACTCAAAGTTCCAGCACGGAGAGCCTAGATGGCCGCGCAGGGCAGACACGGTGGGACAAAATCAAACAAGATGACCGCACTCGTTGTCGACGATAACATGGTTAACCGAACAATTCACCACCGGCTTTTGGACAATCTCGGCATCGAGAATGAAGTCGTTGTCAATGGGAAAGAAGCCATCGATATCCATTGTTCCGGCAAGACGTTCGACCTCATCTTAATGGACATGGACATGCCTGTCATGAATGGCATTGAGGTACGACATAACTAATTCATCACATATACGTGTATGTATGTTTAGAGTAGTGGTGTTGATTTCGATTCGAAATGTGACGCAGGCGACGAGGAAGCTTCGTGAAATGGGAATTCGGAGTACGATCGCCGGTGTGTCGACGCGATCGATGGAACGAGAAGTAGAAGAATTTATGGAAGCTGGTTTAGATAATTACCAGGAGAAGCCATTGACAATGCCTAAGCTTATTTCTATCATTCAGAAGATCAATGGATAGCCAAAAATCTTCAAAACATATATGTAGCATTTGGTTTGTTGTATGATCAAAAGAAGCTAACCCCAACTTTCTAATCTTCCCCTACTCTTGTTTCTATTGTAACCAAATTTTACGTAAGGGTAAATATATATTCATTGTTTTCTGAATTTAACACTTTATTTTTATTCAAATTTAAAAACTTCAACTTACTAATGCAAATTTTCATATAATTCAATTTGGTTATATAAAATCAACAACTCTAATTAAAATTGCTTTGAACTTGAAGTGATCTAAACTAAACAAGAATCAAAATCAAAATAATTTGATCTCGAAATGAAATTAAAGAAATCACTTAGGATTTGTTTGTTTTACGGAAAACAAATTCCGTAAAATGAATTACATTTACTAGAAAATATTTTATATAAAACATTTTACGGTATTTAAATGATGTTGTGTAATTCATTTTCCACTTATTGATATTTTTTAAAAAAATTCTTTAATATAAACATCAAATGCAATAAATAATATTATTTATTAGTAAAATAATAATATTATTTTTAAAATATGTGAATAATTTATTTAATATTTTTTATGTCAATATTATTATTAAAATATTATATATATAATTTTATAAATAAAAATATGGGAAAATGAATTACAAAAACCATTTACAGGGAAGTAAACAGACCCTTAACTTGAAAAAATTGAAATGACCTTATATAAAATTGATCTAAATTCTAGATTTGACTTAAATCAAAAAGATATGAAATTGAAACTAATCGAATTTAAAATGCTCGGGAAAAAAATTAAAACCCTAATTGATCCAACTGAAAGTAAACTTGGTTTGAGAGTGGTGTGTAACAAAAAGAAATTTGTTTATGTTGGGTACAAGCAAGCAACAAAATCCATGAATATTATTACAAGTTGGTGGAAAACTCCATGGATAAACGTCCAAAAAGGAGGATGAAGACACATTCATATATAAAGTAGCCACCCCAAAGTCACGTGATCTTTCATTTCGTTTCGTTTACCATACACATGCTTATGTTTCCTTGACTGAAATTAGTGGAAAAATTCTATATGAACATTACCAAGAATCTTCCATTTATCTTCAAACATAATTCCTTGTAGACAGAATTTTTACTATTGTGGTCTAAGAGGGAGCAATTAGTTCCATTTTACGAATATGAATATTTCGGTTAAACAATAGATGCATGCATTCTATAAATCGGTCAATGCCCAGATGAAAAATATGAAATTAATCGACTAAATTATTAAGTGAATAATAAAAAAATATGTTTATTTTAAAGATACGAATATTTTTCTACTCTAAAATCAAATTTGATATTTTTACCATTTTTATAAATAATCACATTTAGTTTTCTAATTACATATATTTATTGCAATAATTTTAAATGTTTATCTATATATATAAAAATATTTTACATGTCATTTAAATATATTTTTATTGAAATATATATATATATATATGAATTAGGATCCACTTACACAATGTAAAACTCTTTAATTTTATACAGATTTAGGACCGTTGGATGAGTGAAAACATATGACTGAGATTGACTCATTGTTTTCCCCCCAGTAAATATCTATGCATTTTCTACTTTTAATCTCAACTATCTTTTTTTTTTCACTCATCTAATTGTCATATATATATATATATATATATATATATATCAGTAAAACCCTAATCAATATGTTCAATATTATTATTATTATTATAAAAGAAACAATATATTCATCGGTGCATATTAGTAACCTTAATATTTTATAATTGATATAAAATTGATATATTGTTAATTCATACTTATATTAATTCAAGATTTATATTTTTAAAGCACAATAATAAAATCCTAAAATTAATTATTGGACATTGTTATAAGTAGACTTTGATATAAATCAGAATCCTATAATTTACTGTCTTACTCTCGAAATCGATATAAATATATTTTTGCATTATAAGAAAACGGAAAAAATAACATTTGAATTTTGAAAGAAGAAAAAAAATCCAAATATTATTTTTTGGTATAACTAACGGTATTCGATCTATTGATCGACTAATCTGGATTGGGTTCTGTAGAGACAAGTGTGACCCTCACAACCCAGTTTGCTTCATTTGCAATCACTAGGATTCAAACCCCTGACCTTATTTGAAGGATCTAATGTCTCATCCCACTAAACCAATTGGTTGTTGGTAAATCCAAATATTATTTTTGTAACCATTATAATAGTAATTTAGTTATTAGATTGGAAATTTCATTTTTAATATTATTATCATCTATTGTTTGTTAAAATATCTTTTATAAATTATTTAAATATATAATTAATTTCAACCATAATTTAAATTAAATATTATTGTTAATTATGATATAGTTATCCAACTTGGCCTAGTATTAACTGTTAATTTATAAGTTTCAGGTTCAATTCCCTCCAAATTTGTTTTATATTTTTCTTAAAAAAACTTTATCATTCCCAACTATCGATTGAGTGTTGTTTATCTAAGATTTTTAAATATTAAATATCAATTAAATTATTTAAAATTAATTAAATCAATAAAATATATTAATTTTAAGATTAAAACTATTATTATATCATATTACGTTATTATTTTTACCAAATTTTAATAATCAGTGATCAAAATAATTTTTTTAAAAGATAATTTAGTAAATAAAAGAAGTGACCAAAAATATTTGTAATAGTTTAGTAACCAATAGGATAGTTTACTCTAGATACTAAGGCAAACAAAAACCCTAAACCCCCTCTCCCGTCCTCCTTTGCATTTCTTCCCAAGCATCAACCTTTCGAATCTCTGTGGATACTAAGCTAGCAATCTTTGCTCTTATCGATCTGTTGCAAAGGTGATTTCACTGATTGTTTTTGAATCCTTTAATTCATCTTTTCGTTACATTTGTTCTAGTTTGAAATCTTTGAAGCTTCATATTTGTCGAATCTATCTGCGAATTCCGGTTAGTAATGATCCAAAAAATTGATAATTTCCCTTACCAAATTGCTGTAACATCATTTTTGAAGGTTTTGATTTTGGTGGTAATGCATTAGAGGATGGCTTTGCTTAGACCTGTATTAGTTGTTGCTTCTGTTTTTCTTCTTCAAAATTTAAAATTCGTATATCTTAATCATGGTTCCTGGGTTTTCCTTCTGTAATTCATACTGTTGCTGTAATGACTTGTGGGCCTTTCCTCTTTATTCAGGTTATTGTTCATCATGGGATCTTATTGTTTGTGATTCAGAAGAAGTGAGATCTTATCAGAAAATCTGTTAATGGGAACTGAAGAGACAAAGGACCCCCTGAAAGGGGTTGATTGGAAAGCAATTGGTAGTGAGTTGCAGAAGGACCCTAGTGCTGAAAAAGCGGCTTCCAAAGAAAATTAGGCAAATTCCGGATTGTTATTTCCTTCCTCGGATGTCCGTTCCTTCTGCCATTGCCTTCTATGGAGCGTGCATTGCCGGCGGCATTGGTACAGGAATGCTACTCAAGGTCTGGATAAAAAAGAAAATTAAAGGTACACACACACGAAGACATCCGTCTTCTTGCTTTCTTGAACAAGTGAGAAAGGCATGAAGCTTCAGCCCTTTGAACTTTTATTTATTATTATCATCATCTTAACATATCCAAAGCTTGGTTGCTCGTATAAATGAGACAAGTCTAGAGAAGAATTGCACGACTTAGAACAGTCTCCAAGGACTGAGGCCATTGTGGAACTCTTTTGTTCTATATTATAGGGAAAACATGTGCTGAGAATTAGGAAATAGAGAGGATGAAACATTTATCTTACATTTTCCTAGAAGACTTGAGACAAAGGGAAATGTTGTCTGGTCTGGCTCGCCCCTCGTATCATGGGGCACTTGAAGGTTGTTCATGGAAGTCAACAAAATCTTGTTCGATATTATAGGGAAATATATGCTGAGAATTAGGAAATAGAAAGGATGAAACATTGTCTTACATTTTCCTAAAAGACTTGAGACAATGGGAAACATTGTCCCGTCTGGCTCACTCCTTGTATCATGGGTATACTATGGGTGTTCATGGAAGTCAACAAAATCTTCTATTTTGTGGCGGCGAGCTTTGTGTTTATTCTAGTAGGTTCATGAGACGATTTTTGGTTTGCATAAGCATGCATCTCCGGTTTGAGGTAGAGCTTATGCAGTTTTTTTTTGCAGAGGATGGAGGTGTAATATGGGAATTTGACAAATAATGCTTCATATCATTAGAAGAGTTCCTCATCTTCCCCATGGTGAGTTTGAACACGGCTGTCATTTTGCCTGAATTTTGATATGCAAACAGCTAGTAAGGGTTAAGCTGTCTTTTGCAAGTGTGTTAATTATTCATTTGCTTTGTTTCACAGATTGAGAATTATACTACTGGAGCTATATGGCTTGGTTTTGATGATTAAAAAAAGTAAAGGATTAACCTAAAATGGTAAATAATAATAAAAAGAAATAAAATTGATTGGCTTAATGTGAAGGGACAGTCCATATAAATTACCCACACATTTGAAAATAGTGTTGAGATCAAACTATTATTCAAATATATATATATAAAACTTTTAAGAAAGTGTCAAATAACATTATAATTAAATTTGAATATTCGATTCTTAGATATGCATATTCTCACCTTACTACACATAAAAAAATTGAGAATCTTAAGAAACAAATATTGATTAAATGGATTATTTATCCATTTTATTCTCAATTAACAGCGAATGTAACTCTTTCAAGTAAAACGATTAATTTTAGATATTATAACAAAACCATATTCCCATATACAATGGGATAATGGGGAGGTAGGGTAGTAGACTGCCCCCAATGCCAGGTACAGAGCAGCTTTCGTGGAAGACTTCCGGTAGTCAAAAAATTAAAAATAAAGATGAAATAAATAAATAAATAAATACATAGTTGAACAGACTTAATATGCAGTCTTCATATGCTCATATGTTATGAGAAGTAATCCCTGCAAATAAATCATTGCGTAAAAATCTCTGCATATAGACAGAAACGTAAGTCTCAGTTAAATTTAAAAAGAGGAAACATGAAGAGAATGATATACAGTAGTCAGTGATAGCAAGTTACGAGAAGGTATAAAGTAAAATGAGTTAAAACCTAAACTAAGGCAACACTACTCCGCTACTCTAGTTCTAAGCCTTCATAAATTCCAATAACAGAACCATATAAAAAGTAGAAGTCACGGAAATTACTACAAATGCATTAAAAAGAAGACAGAGTTGTTACACCCTATGGCTGTGACTCACACTACTCGGCTACCATGATCTTAAGTTTTCATATTTTCCTGTCAGAGGTCATGTCATTGGTAAGTGCTAAATCCTTCAAATCAGATCTAAAGCAGTCTACCCACTTCCTCCTTGGTCGTCCTCTCTTTCTTGCACCGTCGGCTGTAATCGACTCTACCCTCTTGACCGCATCTGACGGTTGTCTCCTAAGGACATGCCCAAACTACCGTAGTCTTCCCTCCCTCAATTTTTCGGATACAGACACCACCCCTAAGGACATCCTAATTGTAGAGTTTGGTGTCATGTCCCACAGAGTCCTACCACAAGCCCATCGAAACATTCTCATTTCTGCGGCCTCCATCCTCCTCACGTGATCCTTCTTGATTGCCCAACATTCTGATCCATACAGCAACGCTGGTCTTATTGCCATTTTATTGTTCGGTCCCAAAATGGGATGGGTCGGTTCATTTCGACCCTCTGTGTCCAGATATGGTATTTGTTTGACCGACAAATGTCTCAAAACCCGTGAAATTTGACTGAAACGTTTCGGTTTCCTCTCTTTCAATCTCAAATTCATGGACTTCAAAGCAACTTTCGACAAAATGAAGGTCGGATTCAAACTCATGATGTCGAGGCGAAGCGATCCATCCTATTTTGAAACCAAACAATTACCATCTACAGCGATTAACAGTGGCATCCGACCACTTTCTATTTTTATTTTATTTTTAATTTGTAAAGTTCAATTAGCAAATTAAAAAATTGAAAATTCGGTGAGTAAAATAAGAAAGAGAAAAGTAGAGTGAGAAACGGTGTAATTTACCCTTTAAAATTATATAGAGTAAATTATACTAATGGTCAAACAATTATTATCACTTTTGTACCTTGGTTATCAATTTTTTTTACGAAATCATCGCTAATGTTATAGTTATTTTTTTTATTTTGATTACTAAATGAGTTAAAATTTAATAAAAATAGTGACGTGACACGAAATAATCTCTAAAATTAATATATTCTATCCTTTGTCGTAGTTCAATAATTTTTAAAAATTCAAAATTTTATTAAATTAATATCATTTTAAGAAAAATATGAAATATGCTTAAAAGGGAATTAAACTTGAGATCTACGTATAAGCTAACAATTAATCACTATGCCAAACTAAGCATTTGTTATATGATTGACAAATATCATTTAGTTGTGATTGATAAGGTGGATATGGATTGGATTTGGAGGGGAACAAACTCATACCTAAAACTTAATTCAATACTTAACCATAATATCGAGTTAAATAATTATTATATGATTGAAAAAACAATATTTAGTTTAACGTATTTTTGATAGAAGATGTTTACATTTTCAAATTAAATTTAGTAATTTTTCTTTTATCATTTTTTATATTTATATTATATATAAAATCAATATATTAAGATTTTTAATCTAATCGATAATTTTAAAAATTTATGATGTATATAAGCATATTTCTATGTATAGCTAAGGTATATTTAATTAAAATATAACGGGTAAACTATACATTTAGTATCTTACCTAAGCTATCGATTTTGTCCAATTTTAGTACTTAAACTTTTAACTTTTAAAAATCATATCTAATGTTTAATTTTTGTTTTATTTTAGCACCTGTGTTCAAAATTTAACCGTATATTTTGGGGAGAAATTTGAAAATGATAGTTTAAGTATTAAATGCGTAAAATTTTTAATAATGAGATACTAAAATGAAACAAAAACTAAACGATAGATATGAATCTAAAAAAATTGAAAGTTTAGGTACTAGAATGGATCAAAACTAATAGTATATGTATTAAATGTGTAGTTTACCCAAATATAATTTTAAAAATGCTAATACAATCCGAATCAATACGTTAATACTACGCACCGATACCATAAAAGAAACTGTGTAACTTTAAAATATATCTATAATTCAATAACAATTAAGAGATTATTATCCAACTGTAAAAATCTCTAATTGTAATTGTTAACCTTCGTTTTTAACAGTTCGATTAACTGAATTGTTTAACCTCAAAAGTTCGATTAATTAACATATAAAATGTAATAGTTATACCGATTAATAGTTACAAATTAATCTGGACACGGCAGCAACTAAAGCTTTTTTAAAATGTAGACCATAAGGGTAACGTTGAATTAAAAGGCTATAACACCAGAAAGCCCATATTCAACAATCTTCTACCCGCATTGTTATTAATGTTTATGAAACTGTTCAATGTGATTCTAACATGCATGGTTTTTACTACAGTATGCAGTTGGGTGGGGTATGATAGTTATGTTCTGTTGACATTTATTGTAATGGGCATTGTTTTATATATCTTAAAGAATAAGCTTGTGGATGGTTATTATATTTGACAATAGATATTTTGGTTGATGATGAGCATGAGTTGGCATGGTCCCAATGATGTTCCCTGGTATTCAACAATACATGCATTCGGAAAACAAAGGCCCATTGCAGACATTTTCATCAAGATATAAACTAACACTAAAAAAAATATGTATGCAAGTGTTAAACTTACAGAAACATCAACCGCTGACCGGGCTAAAACGGCAGGCCAGTTCCTCTTCTGAACACGTAGCAAAACTTGGACATAACCATGTTGACAACGATGCATTCGGAAAAAGAGCTTCAATGGCCTTTGTAAAATACCGTATGCGGTCACGGATTGATCGCAGATAAAATCTGATAACAGAGAAAACAATAGCAGGTTCAACTTTGCATATTAACAAGTCCTGATCAGCCACAATCTGCTTTTCATATGGAAACCCAACAGGTGAACAACATATGAATATTGTTAAAGTAGATCTTAAGAATTGTACTAGTTGAAGATAGTATAATACGTTATCACTGAAAATGCGAAAAACATCCACTCCCATAGCTTTGTCGAGTTCCTAACAAAAAGAAAAAAACGGAATTATAAGGCACGCAAACATCATCAACAAAAAGGAGTCTCGGTTTTTTAAAGTAGGAATAACAACACTGACATTCAATGCATCTGGGGAGCTATCAATATCAGAGATAAGTTTTCGAAGATGTTCATCCTTCAAGGCTTCACGGACTTCATCGGAAGAAGCTGCTTGAGGAAACATGGTAGATTTAGTGTGAATCAGCTTTGGCCTCAGGACAGTTTTATCTAAAGGTTCTCAGGCTCTAACATAATAATATAGATCCAGATAGCATTTGATCATACAAACTAGTTATCTTAAGCTGGATATCATTCAAGCTTCTATTGTACATCTCAATCTAGAGCAGAACAACACACAGATAATCAATTAGCTGATGTGGAAAAACTTTTTGGGACCATATCCCGGTAGTTAAAACTTTGTGCAAACCAAATCAAGCTAAAAGCAATGTATTTGGCTTACTTTGAAGTGCAAACTGTTCTACTACAAGCCAACCACAATGCCTTTTAATGCAATATGACCATTGACTCATCTATAATCACCATCCAAATTTTGATATCGTTAATAGCTTTTCGGTATTTCTCCCATGAATATTCGAATTCTGGTAGAAAACACAGTTCCTATCGGGAATCTCAATTTATTCACCCTTTTTCGTGTTCTTTTAGGTTTTTAAAGTAGGAACAACAACACTGAAATTTAAAGCATCCGGGGAGCTATCAATATCAGAGATAAGTTTTCGAAGATGTTCATCCTTCAAGGCTTCACGGACTTCATCGGAAGAAGCTGCTTGAGGAAACATGGTAGATTTAGTGTGAATCAGCTTTAACCTCAGGACAGTTTTATCTAAAGGTTCTCTGGCTCTAATATAATAATATAGATCAGGATAGCATTTGATCATACAAACTAGTTATCTTAAGCTGGATATCATTCAAGCTTCTATTGTACATCTCAATCTAGAGCAGAACAACACCCACATAATCAATTAGCTGATGTGGAAAAACTTTTTGGGACCATATCCCAGAAGTAAAAACTTTGTGCCAACCAAATCAAGCTAAAAGCAATGCATTCAGCTTACTATGAAGTGAAAACTGTTCTACTACAAGCCTACCACAATGCCTTTTAATGCAATATGACCATTGAATTGTCTATCATCACCATCAAAATTTTGAAATCGCTAATAGCTTTTCGGTATTTCTCCCATGAATATTTCGAATTATTGAAGAAAACACGGTTTCTACCGGGAATCTCAATTTATTCAGCCTTTTTCGTGTTCTTTTAATTACAAGTTAATTATGAGTCTTATTAGCTTTCCATCATACTTTTTTCATTTTTTTTTTTGGCACTTGAAGATCTCAATTGTGTTGGCAACTATCAACAAGATGTTTGTGGATAAACTATACCGAGTGGATTTTTTTTTTCTTTTTCCAAACATACTTCCCACCACTGTAACGCAGTTTTCGAGTAAAATATCCGAGTATGATTAGATTTTAAGAGAAAAAAATACCAATAGCCTGCATCTGCATTATTTGTAGCACTTCACTTGGGTCATCAACTTCTAGTTTCCTTTCCACTTGAAATTCTGGTTTAGCACCTAATAGATACGAAACAAACACCACTTGAGCTTCTGAAGGTTCCAGCAAAAGAAGAGGTATATAACAAAAAACATTTGGTTTTATTTAAAAGAAAATGTAGCTTCCATTGATGAAATGTCTTTATGAAGGTTTTTAAAGAGATGTTACGATATTATTGAAGTTTATAATATAGTGAATATGAAAAGGAAATTAGAATATGGTTCAAACGTTGCAGCAGACAACTCGATAGGAGAATAATTCATCAAAAAGTTTTTTTATGAAATTTCTGAAAAACTGAAAACAAGCATATAGCTAAGGCTGAACATAAAACACATTATTTGGATTTTCAAATCAACCAACTAGATCATTAAAAACATGCAACTGCATAACAGAGTTCTTACCAGGGTTTCAAAAAATGGTCCGCGACCGCGATATAGCGGTTTCGCCGCTGTCCGAGTTACCCGCGACGGCCGCAATAGCGTCCGCGACGGCCGCAATCACGGTAAATCCGAAATAACCGAAAACGCGACTGCGACCGCGATTTGAAACCCTGGTTCTTACTGCCTCTTCCTTCAGATAATTCTGGCTTGACACTGGGGTCACAGCATCGATGGTGGACTCCGGCTTGACACTACTTGTTACAGCATCATTAACGGACCCTGAGTTCACACTAGAGGTTCCTGGCCGCAATCACGGAAATCCGAAATAACCGAAACGACTGCGACCGCGATTTGAAACCCTGGTTCTTACTGCCTCTTCCTTCAGATAATTCTGGCTTGACACTGGGGTCACAGCATCGATGGTGGACTCCGGCTTGACACTACTTGTTACAGCATCATTAACGGACCCTGAGTTCACACTAGAGGTTCCTGCAGAATTCAGACACTCACAATAGTTTTAAATTAGGCCACTGTGTGACCACAGAGCAAAGGCCGACTACAGCTAGGAACCATCATTTTTTTCTTTTAATACTGGCTTCCGGAAATAGACCCCTTACCTATATTATTTTCTGGTTGAACCGAACTTGAGTTCAAATGCATATCAATTATATTTGCAGTTGGTTTCCAAATACATAAAGCTTGGTATGGATTACCGAACAGACCAGAAGAGGCATGCTGCTATTACTTGATATTACCAAAGCAAAAAAAGAATTCTAAATTTATCACTTCATAGGAGTTTATAGCAAAAGAAGACAATCAAGTCCAAGGCCACAACCTTACATGAACTAACTCCGTACCTCTCAAAATGTACCCATATATAAAAGGATATATTTAGAACATCAAATACATTAAGAGCACAAGCATACTTGATTAAAAGGAGAAGCATGGTATAAACTGAGAAACATCCAGTTGAGGCAAAGTTCTCACCAGACTTGTCTTGTGTGGATTCCGGTTTCACACAAAGAGTTTCTGCATCATTCATAAAAGCACATCAGTTCCAGTAAACCCAAATTTTCCTTTTAATCTTTATCTACAAAACACGAGACCTTCTATCATTTTTTCATTTGTTTTAGGCAAAACATATTGGTGGAGCAAAATTCATGTATTTACCAACGTACATATAGAAATAAAAGATGGGATAAAATAATTAACAAGGGGTGATAAAAGAGGAAAAAAATTGGGTGGCATACCTTTATGTGTCTTGAAACATGAAAGAGAACAACTGAAAAATGGAAAGAGAAAATTGAACAAATAAACCTAATGATGAACAGTTATAAAGAAAGAGGAAAGTGGAGAACTTACTAGGGAAGAAGACAAGAGGGGCACTTGTACTTGGACTGAGCTCGATTGCAAACCTCACACTGCCGTGAAGGACCCCCCATTTTCCCCCCTTCTTCTTCTTCTGTTCAGGTTTTTCTCTTTTATTTCTTGGTTTTGTTAGAATCGCACGACTGTCGACCGAGGTCAAATTGGACCACTAACGCACCGGATAAATAATTTAGCTCATTAGGACACCAAAACATTTAATTTGGGATATACGATAAATTAAACATTTTTCGTAGAATTCGTCACGATGGCGTATTAGGTGGATTTCAAAGTCGGAATAAAAATTATATATCTTAAGGGACTCCTCACTCCGACGTGACGAGTCTCAATAATTTTTTTGTAATTTTTTTAAAAAATAATAATAATATTTTATAGTCATGGAATAATTTTCAAATTTTTGACCGTTGAATTGACCGTTGGTAAAATGTTGAATTTTTTTTAAAATTTCAATGGAACTCGACACGCCGGTGTGACTAGTTCCAATAGCTATTTTCAGTTTGAAAAAACTAGCCGTTGGGTAGAGTATTATAAATAGAAGTTTGAGTTTGATAGATTTTTCACTTGTAATCAAACATTCTACTGAGAGAAAAAATTTTGTGTTGAAATCACAAAAGCTTAAAGTACTTGCTGACTCAAAAAGAGCTAAATCTGAGACAAAGAAGATGGATCGAGCTACTTAAAGACTATGATGCAATCATGGACTATTACCCTGTGAAAGCTAATGTAGTAGCTGATGCCCTTAGTCGAAAGACTTTTGCCGCTTTACGTATACTAGATGCCCGAATTGTGTAAAAGGATAATGGTGTTCTGATGGTTGAATTAAAGTTATAACCTCTATTGTTGGAGCGAATAAAAGAGTTGCAAAGGAGATATGATAAGTGTTTAGTCAGATTGGAACAAGTAGAAAAAAGGTGAAATCATGGACTTTGAAGTCTGTCAAATGGATGCATATTATACAGAGACAGAGTTTGTATTCCAAATGATGAAGAGTTGAAGAGTGATATTCTTTTCGAAACTCTTTGTAGTCCGTTGACAATGAACCCAAGAGGAAACAGGATGTATCAAGATATAAAATGGTGATACTGGTGGCTAGGCATGAAAAGAGCTATTACAAAGTTTGTTGCAAAATGTTTAACCTGCTAACAAGTGAAAGCTGAACATCAAGTACCTTCAGGATTACTACAACCGATCTCTATTCCTCAATGGAAATGGGAAAGTGTTTCGATGGATTCTGTAACTGAGTTACCTTTGACACTGAACAAAAAAGACTCCATTTGGGTAATTGTAGATCGCTTAACTAAGTCCGCACATTTTATTCATGTTCGAACTATTTTTTTCAATGGATAAGTATGCGAAACTATATATCAAGGAGATAGTTCAATTACATGGAGTGCCAATTTCAATAGTATCTGACAGAGATCCAAGGTTCACTTCGAGGTTTTGGAAGTCTTTACATAGAGCATTAGGTACCCGATTGAACTTTAGCACAACTTTTCACACACAGACCGATGGTCAATCGGAGTGGACGATCCAGGTTCTGGAAGATATGTTAAGAGCAATGTGTTATTGATTTCTATGTCGCTCACAAAGTTTGCTTATAACAATAGTTATCAATCGAATATCAAGATGGCACCCTATGAAGCTTTATATGGAAGAAAATATCGAACATCATTGAATTGATTTGAATTAAAATATCAAGACTTAGTGAAACCAGATCTGATCAAAGAAGTCGAAGAAAAAGTAAAGATTATTCAAAATAATCTTAAGATAGCTGCTGATTGACAGAAGTCCTTCGCACATCATAGCACCGAAAGAAATAGAAGTTTAATCTGACCTGACTTATGAGGAAGAACCAGTGCAGATTTTAGCATATGAAGTTAAACAGTTAAGGAATAAGATGATCCCATTAGTTAAAGTTCTCTAGAGAAATCACAAAGTAGAAGTGGCGACATGGGAGCATGAAGAGGATATAAGAAAACAATTTCCTCATCTCTTTGTACAGTGAAAATTCGAGGACAAATTTTCTTAAGGGGGAGAATTGTATTACCCCAAACATCGTGTCAGTGATTAAAGTGTAAGAATGTAATATTTGGTGGTTTAATTTGAATAAATTGAAAAGTTCAAGGACTAATTCTAAAAATTTGTGTATAGGACTTATTATCAAAGGTTGAAGATTTGAAGGGCATTATGGTCTTTTAAAAGGAAATGAATTTAAAATTTCTTTTAAAAAGATATAAAACATGTGGGAAAAGGGGGAGATAAGGAAAAGAAATATATGGAACCCTTTGGTTATCTTCTTCTTCTTTCCCTTTGCCCATACACCATTTCAAAGGTGAGTGAATTTAAAGTTGATGGTTTCTTGTGTTTTTGGTTTGGGTTTTAGTTATTGGGTGATATAAAAGCTTAAGGAAAGCTTAAAGATGAATAAAACTAATTGATTAAGGAATTAAGAGTGAATTAGTAAAATAGGTTTTTAAGGGATTTGATGAGATTGATTAGTATTTCGATTTCTAATGTTATATTTGACTTGTAAAGGGTCTAATTAAGGTGTTTAAAGTGTTAGAAATGATTAAGAACATGTTTGATTGATGGGTATGATCTTTAGCTTAAAGTATTCTATGGAGAATTTTAGGACGTTAAAAGAGGATTAATGGACATAAGTTGTGTGGGATAAAGGTTATTGAGTTTAAGGACTTGAATAGAGTTAAAGGTAAGAGATTTAAGTGAGTTTTGAGTAAAATTAGAAATGGAATAAATGAAATATGGGTAAGGGTATCGGTACTGGAAGAACAATATCGATACTATAAGGGTAAATTGAAGAAAAAGTGTATGAACCGGATGAACAGTATCAATACTGATTCAAGTAGTATCGAAACTGATGTGTAGGTATCGATACCAAAAGTAAGGTATCAATACTGTAATTGAAAATGGAATTCCAGAATGCCAAAATGATATCGGTACTAAAGTGGGTATCAGTACCATAGAAGAGAAGTATCGGTACTGTAGGAGGAGTGCAAATACTATTCGTTCTAAAAATTTAATTAGGAAGTTTTCGTTCTGTTTATGTAAGTGCTAATTGGTTACCCTTTAATGGAATGCGGTATTGATATTAGACATGTCTATATGTAGATTTGGATCTTAAGGTACCGAAAAGATCAACTTAGTACGAGATTGATCGAAGGAAAAAGGATTTCGTTTAGGACTTTCGTGAGGCAAAGGTGAGTGCAAATTATATTTTCATATTAGATATGAGGACGGCTTATGATAAGCCAACCTTGAAGTTTTCAATCGAAAATGGTTTATATATTTTATACAATTATTATTATGATGGTTTATTTAAACTGTATTTCCAAATTATTGTTTTGATTTTTTTTGGTATGTTAAAATGTTTATATGTGAATATATTCTATAAGAAAATGTTTTATGTGAAAAATGTTCTACATGAGAATAACCTATATGAATGTACTCTACGTGAATAAAACACACTTTGAATAATAAAATGAAAAAAATAATTATATGGTTAAAGCCCAAGGTATATGTATGAGGATTAGGGGTACAGTTGACAACCTAAGAGTCGAGGGTTCTATGCAGTCCTTCGAGACAAATCTATGTGGTCCTTCGGGACAAATTCTACGCTGTCATTTGGGATAAAATCTACGTGGGACTCCAGTGCAAATTATATGAGCAGTGGCGACTGCATTTAGTGCACAACCTCAATCTACATAGATACCTTGGGTTCTCAATAATATGCATTGGGCAGAAAATAATAAAGTGATATAAATTGAATAATGAGTACAATATATATATTTTCATGAAATGTATCTTGATTTTATTATGAAATGTTTTATGTGGATTGAATAAGCAAGTCTTTTTAAATGGTTTATTATACTCATTATTGCCTCACTAAGTCGATGACTTAGCGTGTGATTGTTTCACACGTAGGTTCAAAGAGATTAGGAGATTAAAGCTAGGAAATGATAACATATGCTTGAAGAAGATCGGATCAGAACAATTTGAAATCGTAGGTTTCTTATCATTTTGTAATTTTATTAGCATGTATCAAAAAGTTTTAAATTGTAATGATCTGATCCGTCTTGTAATCATACTATTTTATATTTATGTAAATTATTAAGTATTTATTTTTAATGTGAGTTATGAATTTTCAATATTAAATTTGGTTTAAGGGTTCACCACTTAAATACAAATAAAAGTTTAAACTTTTCAACAAGTTTTCAAATAGTCAAAGTGTTGAAAAGTCAATGTGACACCTCGGATTCGTATCCGGGTCGGGTACGGGTTGGGGTGTGACAAGATAACCTAGGGTGGAAATGGGTTAGTAAACACACTTTCACTGCTAAAAGTGCCTATGATTGTTGTTGCCACTTGCTCGCCATGGAGGAATCCCCGTTATGGAAAACCATTATGGGATATAATGGCTTTCTTTGGGTGAAGAATTTCATGTGGATTGTGTGTAAGGGTAGCCTTCTTTCAAATGAAAGGCGTGTGAGACGGCATATGTCTCCCGATGGTAGCTATTTGGAGTGTGGGGGCGGTAGTGGAGTCAATGTTACATATTCTTCGCGATTGTTTTCCCTCATGGAACGTGTGGATTAATCTAATTAAAGCGGATCAGTAAGCCGAATTCTTTCAGCTATATTTAATGGCTTGGACTGAGGGTAATTTTGCTAAATCTTTTACTTTTCGGTTGCATCCAAGGATTGGAATCTCCTGTTTGGTGTGGTCTTATGGAACCTTTGGTGTTGAAGGAATAAAATGATATTTTATTTGGGGTTTGTAGAGTTTGAAAGTGTTTTACAGAAGAGTTTTTGTATGCTTCAAGAATTGTTAAGAGCATGTGTTCAGGACCAGCAGACAAAAAGGATGGTTGTTAGCTCCTCACAATGGCAACCCCCTCGGTATGGATGGTTCAAATTAAATATGCATGGCTCCAGGCGAACGAATTCGGGACTTAGTACATGTGGTGGAGTTTTGCAAGATTCTATGGGAAGTTGGGTTGCGGGGTTCTCGAAATCCATTGGTATATGTTCAACCTTGGAGGCGGAGTTATGGGGAATCCTTGAGAGGTTGATGCTCGCTTGGGATTCATAATTTCAGGAGTTGGTGGTTGAAACAGACAATAAACATGCATTATTAGTGATTTGGATCTGAGCGAGGTTTCTTTCCCCCCTTTGGTGATGTGCATTAGAGAGGCTTTAGCTTACCCTTAGAGTATTGTTATGTGTTATGTTCTCTAGGGTGTAACATGCTGGCGGACGGATTGGCGAAAATTGGTTGGTCACTACCATTCAGATTCCATTTGTTTAACTCCCCTCCTGATGTGGTGCAAGATCTCTTTTGGGCGGATTGCAAGGCTTTATCTCCCAGGATCATGTAGTCTGTGAGCTACTTTCTTTTGTAATAAAAAAATTATGGTTTTTATTTATTTGTTTGTTAATTATTCTGTTGGGTTGAAATGGAAAAATGGATTTGAACCAATTGGATTATGCAATTTGTTCAATATTTTTGGGCTTTTTACAAATGAGGAAGTATTGGATCACTGATTAGCGGTCTAGTCTAGGTCGTAACTGAGGAGTTTTGGGTTTTTTGCCCCATTACCGTGGGCCCCAAAATTATTTAGGGAAAAAGGGGTATTAAGAAATTATTTTGGGATCTATTGTATTTTCTACAGTGCATATTTCATTAAAAATTATTTTTTTCAAATTATTAATATGAATTTAGTTTTTTTTAAAAAAAATAGAACTCGTAACCTCGGTGTAACAATTTTTTTAGCTATATTACTCATGAAAACATATCAAACTTTGGTATTGGTACATGTTTAATATATATAAACTATCATTTTTTGTTTTCTTTTGGTTCCTAAATATGTATTTGTTTCAAAATTATACCTAAAGTTTACTTTTTTTTATTTCATTTTGGTACCTCGATGTTAAAAGTTTAGCGGAACAAGCACAACTTTTTTATGGGTAAATTACATCATTTATCACTTAATTATCTTCTCACTCATATTTTTGTCACTGGAGTTTAATTTTTAAATTTTGTGACATCATATTTTTATTATTAATTTATTAATATATAATTAAAATAAAAAAATTAATTTAATAACTTTCAAATTACTCCTAATTTAATCACTCTAACTTTTATATTTAATTTTAACAGCGAGGTACCAAAATGAAATAAAAAGTGAACTTTAGGTACAATTTTGAAACAAATAAAAATTTATATACCAAAAGAAAACAAAAATGATAGTTTATATATTAAACATGTAGTTTACCCAATACCAAAATTGATATGTTTACATGAGTATTGTAGTGAAATGTGTTGACATTTCAAAGCTAAAAAAAATTGTTACACCAAAAGGAACTCGTCACTTCCAGGTGAAGAATTCTAGTTTTTTTTTTAAAAATTAAATTCATATTAAAAATTTTAAACATAATATTTTTAATAAAACTTGTCACCTTGAGGTGATGAGTTTCACAAAAAATATTAAAATATTAGGACTGAAATAAAAAATAATATCCATCGTCATGTAGTGTAGAAAATGTCGTAGATCCTAAAATAATTTTGAGGTGCCTTATAGGGCCAAATAATTATTTTGTGTGCCGGGGTTTTCCCCAATACAACAACCATCTTAAATAATTGGCTCAATAGGGCACAAGAAAAAAGTTTATTTTGGGATCTACATCATTTGCTACAGTTTCTTTGGAACTCCTCACGTCGACATAACAAGTTCCAATGAAAAATATATTTTATTGGACTCATTCATTGGGTCAAATACTTTATTATTTTTCTTAGAACTCATCATGTCGATATAACAAATTTCATTATAATAATATTATTTTTTATTTAGACTATTTTTTCGTAATAAAAAATTCACGGAACTCGTTGTGATGAGGTGACGAGTTCCGTTGGGTTTAAATAATTAGTCGTTTATATTCATTGTCTAATTAAATGATTTTTAATTGATGGAACTCATCATGTGTGCGTGAAAAATTTTTGCAGTCATTTTGATAAAATTTTCATTATAAATAGGTGAGTTGAAATAGTTTATTTGAGAATCAATTCATGCATTTGTGGGAAAAATTTATGAAAAATAAAGATGGTTAATGATGTCATAAATTATTCAAAAAAATGTACAACAAACAACATGAGAACAAAATTACGAAGGTTTTATTGGTCCAATTGATATTTAGAAAGATGTGAGATTTGATACAATTCTAGGATGGTTAAAATACCCGAAACCGAGGGATTTTGACCCGACCCAATAGGGGCGGGTTTTTTAATTAAAAAAATTAGGGTTTGAGGTGGGTTATATAGTAGAGAAAGTCGGGGTCAGGATGGGGTCGAGTTTAAGGTATAAAATAACTGACCCGACCTGATTTAAATTACTAAATTACCCTCTATATATAATATATTTAGGTTTAGTTTTTTTTTTCAGTTTTCCCCGTCGTTATCGATTACTTGTACTGGTAGGTGGCTAGAAAAATTGTTTCTTCATTCTACTTTTCATTTCAAATTTTAGTTATCATTTTTCATTAAATTTCTAATATCAATCATTATTAGATTTTCTTGTTCTTTTTCATTAGCTTTTCATTTGATCTTTTTTCCAATTTTTTAGGACTCTGCCCTTGACGACTGGTATTTGCATATAATTTGTTCGTTTCTTCAACTTTCATTTCCATTTATAAGGTAATATTTTTTTTATATTATTTTCCCTTTTTGCATATTTTTATGTATTTTTTCTTATTTTATAAGGTAATAATTTCTATAATTTTTTTTCCTTTTGCATCTCTATTTTCCAATTCAATATTTAAGGTTTTTACCAATCTTGTCCTTTTTTTCTTGTTTCTATTATTTTAGTTCTTAATTTGATTTCCCCCCAGATTTTTTCTTTCTTTCTTTGACTTAATTTTGACCTTGTTTTGGGTTTTGGACGTGCCCTTTCTTAGTATTTCTGGGTTTGTTTGTTTATCCTTTGTTTTCCTTGTTTTGTTTACATGATTTTGTTTGATTATGCAGTTGAATTCTTTGGATTGAAGTTGCTATTTTCTCTTCGATTTATGCTAAATATTTCTATTTTTTTATATTTTGATTTCTTTATTAACATGTTTTTGAAATGGAATTGATCTTGCTTAGAATTCTATTCTTGGAACGCTGAATCCCTTTTTTTCTATTAAAAGAAAAATAAATCTTTTTTTATTAATTTTTTTCTTTATTTTGTTTTGACTGTTTTATTTCATTATTTGTCACCCTAAAGTTTGATGAGCTATCTTTTTGTTCAGATTATTTTCTTATTTTATGTTTGTTTATGTGTGTTAAAAACTTCCCACTTTGTGCCTGTGATTATATTGAGAAATATAGACTTTACCCTTTTACCGTCATGATCATATGAACTCCTCCATCATTATTAGGGATGGCAAACGGGCGGGTCGGGTACGGATACCCCCTCCCCCATCCCCATACCCACCTAATATTTTTCAATCCACCACCCGCCCACCACCCATGATGGGTACAAATTTTCAAATCCACACCCGCCCACGCGGGTACATTTTCAAATCCATCCCCACACCCACTACCCACTAGCGACATACCCATCTAGACCCGCCTGATAGCAAACTAATGGGATGTTGGAGTTGGTTCCCAGACAGTTCGTGATGGGGTAACAGCGCATGCTTCAATTTGTCAGAGGAGTAGCTCTACGAATGTTATGGAGAGAGATTGTAGGGAGCATGTAGTCGTAGAGCTGGATTGTTGTGTTGCTTTCGATGTTAATGCTCATAGTGCACCTAATATGGGTTTTGAGGGGCTAAAGAACATGGAAACTGCTGCTTTTGATGTTAATGCTTATAGTACGGCTAATTTGTGTTTGGATGGGCAGAATGAGCTAAAGAACATGGAAAGTGACGTGGTTAGTGGGATTATGGGTTTAATCAAAGAGCCGAATATTTCCCTACTAAATATCCTTAATATTTGGATAAATTATATAATATTAAAATTTATAAATTAGTCTCTAAAATTACACCTAAATTTATAATGGTCCAAAAGTTAATAGATATTTAGCTGGGTGGGCGGATGTGGGGAGGGCGGATGTAGGGCGGATGCGGGGCGGGTAATGTCTCAAACCCATTACCCGCCCACGACCCACGACGGGTACTACTTTATAAATCCACACCCGCCCACTACCCGCTAAAATTATGCCCATCCCCGCTCCAATTGGAGCGGATGCGGTGTGGAATCCACGAAACTGTACCCGTTTGCCATCCCTAATCATTATTGAATTTGATTATGTGTTGTATCATTATTGTATGATAAAGTTTGAAGTAAACTCAGCTACCCCGTGTTGTCAGTTGTTCCAAGTTTCTTTAATGCTTAGCTATCTTTTACATTAAAATAATGATTTATATAGGACAATGTCCAATCTAAAGAACTCTGTTTCATCATCTCCAACTTGCAACCTTAATCAAATGTCAAACGATGGAAGTTCAATTGGAATTTCTGATGGAAGTTCAAATCCCTCATTAAGTCAACCTAATGTCATGGTTGATAATAATGAATCAAGTGAATACAACCCAACGAAGTAAAAATCTATAGTATGGACCATTTCAAAAAAAAAAAAATCAACAACGAGTGGAAAGCAATATGTAATCATTGTATAAGAAAGCTTGGTGGTGATTCTAAAAATTGGGATAAGATATTTGCATGATCATTTAGCAAGGTGCAACAAGAGGTCAAGTAGACAATCATCAATTAGTCCTAGTAGCTAATCAAAGGAAGGTGGATGGAAAATTGGCATTAAAAAGCGTCTCATTTAATCAAGATGACACAAGAAAGGAACTTGTTAAGATGATAATCATGTATGAGTATCCTTTATCAATGGTGGATCATGCACAATCCAGAAATTATTGTTATACTCTACATCCAATGTTTGATATGCCTTCTCTCAGTACTATGAAACGTGATATCTTAGATATGTTCGAAGAGGGAAACGTGAAAATATTATCCATATTAGAGGCTAACAAAGGAAGAATTGTCATTACAATTGACATGTGGACTATAGATCACCAAAATAAAGGATACATGGCCGTTAATAC